CTATATTTACAGTAATCAATATGAAAGTTGACACAAATGTAAATGTTCATGCGCCAATACATTGATATACAAAATAGTTGGATTTGCCTATTTTGAATCTTTTTTAGGGGGGGGGTCAGAGCTCACAAAAACAACAACATAATTTTGGGATTTTTTGGTCAATTACTCAGTCGTATTTCGGCCAACTTACATGGGATTTGATACAAAAATACTTTTTTACAGATCCCAAACAGAGATATAGACAATTCTGGAATTGTTTTCTTTGGTTCAATATTTCAGCAAGAAAAGCACAATTTGGTGTTTTCGTGAACTATTCAAGTGTATGTCAACTAATTTACATGGTATTTGGTACAAAGACGCATTCCTGCAGGTCTCAAGTAGTGATATAGACAGTTTTCTATTTTTCTGGTGCCAAAGTAGGCCATATTAGGATTGCGTGGAGGAGACACGTTGCGCGAATGTTGGCCGGTTTGATACTGCAATGATTTGGCTACGAAGAGAACTAAGGTAAGGGGCTTGAAATCATAAATAAGATTAACGACCATAGCCCTCCGAACAAGTTTATTACCGTCAATTATAATTTGGAAAAGCACTATAATCTCTTAAAGTAAGGCATAACCTGTAAGAAAATGAACCTAAAAAGTTCCACAGAATTCATTACACTGTGCTGTTTATATAATTACTTGAAAAATGCGAACAAACCCAAAATAAAATTAAAATTAGTATGAATGGAAGAAGAATGGAAAGAGAGAGAGAATGATGACAACTACTAGAAGCGCAGAAGTTTTGACTGTATATATATAGGAAATACTTGTGGCCACATTTTTTGACTCACGCGTTGTTGTTTTGTTTGCTTGTTTGCCAGATAAAAACGAGATAAGAATTGTTATACAATTTTGTAAAATAAATGTTCATTTCAGCAAATTTAACAATAACGAAACGTAAAATTAGATGGCGCAATGTATGTGTTTCAGGTCTTATTTAAAAAGTTTATTTTAACGAGGTAAGTTTCCAAACTTTGTAAAATATAAAAATAATAATACTAACTAGCATATCATATGAATGACTTAATGTACCTTCAACTTAGAATAAATTTTATTTTTGTAACAGATTCAAAATAAATCTGTTCAGTAAATGCTCGCTAGAGGCGCCTATTAGTTTTTCCAAGGTAAAAGTTTTTATTAAAAAACTGTTAAAGTTGCTTTCCCTCAATTTACTTTCTTGGTTGAACTTATACGTTTACATACTTTAAGCATAAATTTTCGCCAGGTTTGTATATGTTCGCTGAAGTCGAGTAAAAAAAAAAACTGCTTGTATAAAAGACTTGTTAAATTGATTCATTACGACAATATTATTCAATAATTATTTAAAAATCATGAATAAGAAATCCATAGTCAACTTCTCTCTATAGTATGTCGGAATTTTTATATTATATATATATAAACTTCAGTGATTTGCAGCCACAGGTAATAGACAAATAGTTATATATCAGGCTATACTCGTATTTAAAACATTTAAAATAAATATAAATCGTTTCGCCTGGGCGTTGCGCACATATTTGTTTTTCTTTTACAGAAATGTTAACCAGTCATTTGTATTTTCAGATTTTATAACAACACTGTTGCTTTAGTTTATTCTTCTTCTTCTACCGACATTAACCAATCAAAAACTTTACAGAGTTTCGATCTACCGACATTAACCAATCAAAACTTTACAGAGTTTCGAATATGGATTTCGCCAAAATATTTATAAATGTTCGCTAGAAAGTTTATTAATGTTGTCGACAAACCGGGACCCAGAAAGCCTATACGGTTTACAAATATATGAAAAACTAACGAAACCGTGTACATGTAGGTTACAATATTTTTAACATTAAATTTTGTAACATTGCTACCAGAAGGCGCTAGCAGCAAGAACTACTCAATGGAAACAAATTGATTTTATAACTAAACATATATTTTTATCACTATTATTATAAAAAAAAATTGTATTGCAATTCATGGAGAGAGAGTATGAAAGCTGTATAGTAAAACGTATCATTATAATTTTGGTTTCTTATAAACTTGCAGAAAGATATGTAATCTATGTAAGTACATTGTATAAGTTGGGTTTATGAGTTTTATATTTATATTATACATGTGTATAAGCATTTATATGTTTATAAACGTTTTTATAACCTATTGAAACGCAGACTACTAATAACAATATAGTGTTATTGCCGGAAATATTTTTGGATTTCTGGAGATTAACTACAGAAAATATACCACCACTATTTCTATTGAAATGATAAATGGACTAAAGAAAACGAGAAATAAAACGAAAAAACGAAATATCTGTTCTGTGCTCCAGTTCGCAAAGTTGTCGTCGTTTTATGATTTACCAAATTATTTAATATCTTTACTTACACCATGCTAAAAAATGAAATTCTTTACTTAAGAGTTCTTCCTTCTTTTTTTTCCTTTTCGAAGTCTTGTTCAAATAGTACATCCTCCATTGAAAGTCACAAACAGGGTTTCTCTAAACTGTCAAGAATAACCTTTTGTTAATTGAATTTCGCGTCAAACTACTCGAGGGCTAATTGCCCTAACCGTCCCCAATTTAAAAGTGACAGCCAACTCTTGAGCTACTCTAATCGAATAGTGGGGTTGACCGGTGAAAGGTGAACTTGTTTAGTGATGTAATTCGAACCTGCTGACCACCGATCACGAGTCGCGCTCTCTGGCCATCAGACCATCTAGGTATAAACTTTTGTTTTAAAAACTTAAATTCAATTTTCTGCAGCCGTAAATTTCAAATCGCAGTGAAACAAACTATAGCTCATTGAATGACACTGCTGTTGAGGTGTAACTGGAACCTGATCATTTCATTAACAAGATTATGCACGTTGAACTATCTTTGTAAAGACGTTTAAACAGCTTGCATTTATATCAGATATGAAATTTTATTATAATTGAAACGCCAATAGTTTTTAGGAAAAAAGCAGAGCATTTAGAACTACGAATGCTAAATGTATATTCTATAGATAATAAACGGCTTTGTTCAACCTTAATTCTGTTCCATAAACTATTGCTAAGGATTGTTAGTAATCTTACATCTTTTGTGTGTTTACTTAAAGCTTATGATTGCGAAATATTGAAAACTAAAGAGTATACTATACACTTAAAAAAAAATAAAGACTATCTTCTCATATTATCGTTTAATTCTTTTCCTGTCTATAGTTTATACCAGTTTACCCACACACACTAACACAAAATAAAAAGCTCGCTCACACAGATTTGTGACAATGCCAGTTGGTGGCTCCGACAGTGTCGGATCACGTGGTGCTCTACTGTTAGGAAAAGCTGGCGTTATTGTTGTGGGAGATAGGTCCAATGCCTGTTATCTCCAAGAACACAGAACTTCCATAGAAAGGCTATACTGGCTTTTGTACATACCGCTAGGACTGATAACAGTGTTTCTCACACAGCACCGTCTTTTCAGCTCGTTAGGCCTAACTCTCTTTCAAACATATACATTCGGCTCTCCCTCTGTCTTACGTTGTAACAAAACCCACCTATGTAGAGCTTATCTCTGTTACTGCCTATTGTTCACACGCACTATTGTATTCTGAAAAGCACCTTTTGTGTCGTGGCTGAGGACAAATATGGCAATGCAATTGAATTACGCTTCTGAAGCTATTCTGTGATATATATAACTTATATATTTAATATAGTGAACTAACACTGTTGTAGAGATTCGTGTCTTACGTTTCTTTATACATTGTCATTACAAACAGCTTTGGAATTGAAGATCGTATAGCTATATTGTATATTCTATACTAACGTTTTATTTTATTGATAAACTTAATTTTTCTACGAACCTTTTTTATCGGTAATAATAACAACGCTGTGTTGTAAAAGGGTATTCAGAATATAAAGCACCGCATAAAAATACGTTTCGTAATTTACTGATGGATTTCATAAGATAATTTTTATATGAAAGTACTTTCAATTCGTATAGAATGTACTTTGAAATATTATCAAAACAAAGGCAACTGTTAATACAATGAAGATTCGTCTTCAAAATGTTAAAATGATGTAACAATGCCATTAATAGAATTATCTTTAAAATGAAAATTAATAACAATATATAAAGATATAAAGTGTAAATCACGTTAAAAATATTTTAAAAGCTAATGTTATCTTGGTGTTAACTTTCAATACTCAAAATCACAAGTGTCAACGGCACGGCATGGTCATGTGGTTAGGGCGCTTGGGTCGCAGGTTCGAATCCCCGTTCCACTAAATATGCTTGCCATTTCAGCCGTGAGGGCGTTATAATGTGACGGTCAATCTCACTATTCGTTGGTAAAAGAATAGCCCAAGAGTTGGCGATGGTTGGTGATGACTAGCTACCTTCCCTCTAATTTTACACTGCTAAACTAGGGACGGATGGCGCAGATAGCCCTTGTGTAGCTTTGCGCGAAATTCAACAACAAACAAATAAACACAAGTGTCAACAGTTTAAATTACCATTAAGAATTAATTCTCTTTATATTTTTTTCAAACAGGAAAACAGTATGTGAAATTTCTGCACGATGTTAAAGGATGCCTTAACACTAAACGTCGTGATATACATACTCGAAACAGATAGTAATCACGTTTTCACAATGCTACTAAAAGCAGCGCAGGATTTCATGCTTGCATGACATAATTGAAAAATATATTATTAAAATCTTATTGTTTCCGTCCTTTCATTCGATAATAGCTACAATAAAGATGGCGCTTTTGTCCAGACATTTCCTCTTATTCTGCGTATAAAGAGCCAATCAGTGCAAAGGAGGCGGAGTTTGTATTGTTAACGTTAATAGTACTGGGTTTATTTTTCTCCAATCACACACAACGTAATATTTTCAAGTAATCGATACATATATCAAACTAAGACAGATGTTATATACAGGAAAGTTATCTTGTACAACGGTTAAAAACACATGCACTACATCAGCAGAGAAAGACTAGCTTATTCTAGACGTATTTAGCTCGTTATAGTACAATTTTAGGCTTAGTAGACATTTGAAAAACAATTGAAGCAGGTAAGATAATCTTAATTACAAAGTTTTTCTTTATAAAATTTTGCAAAATTTAAAGTTTTCAGCATGGCCAAAAGTAACAGTGAGCATGTCAAACGACCCATGAACGCGTTTATGGTGTGGTCTCGTGGTCAGCGCAGGAAGATGGCTCAAGAGAACCCCAAAATGCATAATTCGGAAATCAGCAAGCGTCTCGGTGCACAATGGAAACAGCTGTTAGAGTCAGAGAAACGACCCTTCATTGATGAAGCTAAACGTCTTCGAAGCTTGCACATGAAAGAGTATCCTGATTACAAGTACAGACCACGGCGTAAACCCAAGTCTTTACTGAAGAAAGATCAGTCATATTTCCCTGTGACGTCATGTCTGACTTTCTCTCCGGCTTTTGATCCTCTTCGGAGATTTCCATTACATAATACCCCTCCAACATTTGGCTTGTCTCCCCTATCTGCTTTGGAAAGTGAGAAAGCTACTGCTGTCAGAACATCACCTTTGGGCTTTCACATATCTTCCAGTCCGATGAGCCCTTCACATTTAAACAATATCTACGGCAACGGAGATGGACCTAATTTTAATTTAGAAAAACTACGAGTAGCGTCCATCGATCCCTCCCTCTCGCCCAGTAGTCTGGCGGCAGCGAACAGCAGTATCTTGAGTTACACACCTTCAACGGTGTCGCCTCTCTACAGCGCGGCAGCAAGTGGGAGTTTCCACCACAGTCCCATCGCTGTACTCCCATGTGGATGTGGTCCTGCTTATTTTTCGGCTCTTGGCCCTTTTCCCTCAGCAAGTAATTTAAAGACTCAAAAGGATGATTTTCGCTTTCACTATTCACGCTTGTTCATGAAACCTGAGGAATATCTATCAAAACTCTCAAACCCTCCAGCCCTAACTGGCGTATCATCAAGATGTTAAGCCTTGTTCAGGCTTAAGTATTTTCCAATTAGAGAACAGTAAGACTCGATAGAGAAGCTATGTTTATTATTGTTATTATTATTATCGATTAATTAGTGAAAATATATTTCTAGTCGTTACTAGTGCCATACCTCACTCGTTAACAATTAACATAATAATAAAGATACAATAATTTTAATACAATCAACGCAGCTAGAAGACTCGTATGCTTGTTGAGACTGGAAGTGGAAGGCAAATGTGATTAATTATTACACGAGTTCAGATAACAGTATTAAAGGTAAAACGAAATAAAACAAAATTAAATAATTTTTTTTATATTCTGAATTATAAAATATTTATCTCAGTACGCCAATAATATTTTTTTTGTTCATGTTGTTTAATGTAAAGTTGCACAAAGTATTATTGGCGCTGCGCCCAATGCAAGGATCAAACGCCGAATGTTAGTATTGTTAGCCTTCCAGTTTGACATTGAGCCACCGGGAGGGGGCTAGAAGTTTTCATCATGTGATAACTAGTAGTTTAATAAAACGATATCAAATAACTATTATTGATTTTATGTTCAGCAAAGAACATACTACTATATAAATATTTATTTATAAGTAACAAAAAGAACTTTTGAAATAAATTTGTTTATATTTTTAAATGGTAAAAAAAATCTGAGACAGGAACATTTTTATACTTTCTGGGAAAATTACTCTGAGCCCTCTCAATAAAAATAATGTACATATTAAATGTGTAAAATTCTGATATTTTCCTCTTTTTGTTTCTTACATTACGTTTTTATTTTTAATAAGCAATATTAGATGAAATAGTTGAAACTGGAAGAATCTACTTTTGACAAACACTTAGATATACCAAAAGACAATCGTCAGTTGACGAGCTTAATTTGTTTTTCTCACACAACAATGCATGAGTATTTTTTGCTCAATGTGCAGCATAAGTGATGTAATTCAGTATTGACACGTGAAGTTTATGTAATATATTGTGTAATATACAATTTTTCTGATTGTAATGATGTAAATTAAAGCTTTAGATTTTAAAGAGATGACAAACACGTCTGTATTGATGTTTTGAAATTTTAGAACATTTCCTCTTTTCATGTTTATGTGTTAATAGTTTAGTTGTTTTTAATTGGTGAATGACCACGTTTCTAAACCGTTCGTTCCTTTGTTTTCTTTTGACAATGCATCAAGTTATGCAGCTAAATGTGGATGTAAACATCATGTCAAATGACGATATCACGTAAATTCACGTGGCTTTAATAGTTTATATCATGCTAATATATTATTTGATTGTATCGCTGAGATTTTGTGATTTTTCGTAATTTTATATCTTGGTCACTTTATAACTGACTTAAGTTTCTTGAAGTCATATATTTAATCACTGGCTAAAGCCGAAATTATACTCGTCTCGAATTGATGACAGACTTTTGTCTGATGTGCTTGTAAGCAGGAGATTATTATTACGTAAAATGTACAGCATTTATTTTGATTTTTTTTGAATGAAAGTAATTTGGTCTAACACACACTCAAACTTGGGTGTGTGTGTGATTTAAAGAGGATTCATGAACCCTATAAGTATTATATACACTTCACCATTATAAGAGGCCTTACTGTAGTTCTTTGGTTTGCTGACCCAAGCTGTGCTGATGAGCCTTGAATAGGGGAAACTGCAGTCTACAGCAGAGAATACTGCCAATCAAAGAATCTATTAGGCCTCTAACTCACAGATTACATTTAAAATTTTGCCATTGGTGAAAAGAAAGTTTGCAATTTAAACATACTCAAATCAAAACTATAAATAAAATGGTCTGTTTCTTTCTGGATCTCACCTAAGATTTCTTTCTAACAAAACTTTGCCATTGTGTGTATGGAAAAACATGGTGTTAATGACAAACACTGAAAGTAATGTACATGTATATAACCTTTAGATAACAACTCTAACTGCTTTTTATTGTTATTATTTCGCAAGTAAATATTTTGTCTGTATTAAACTATATAAATATAACTCTACTTGCTATAATTTCTTTGTTGTATCAGATGTGAGTAGTAACTGTTGATTAGTGTTGCATGGATTTATTATGATGAGCCCTCGCTGTCGCATTCCAGACCAACGCATTTAATAACCTATAAGGCTTAATGAGTCTATATCAAAACTGTTTATATTGTATATAATTGCCTGGTTGGTAATAATGATATTAATGTATTTTAAGATACAAAAACGTTATGATGTGATTAGAAGCAAGTGAATCACGGTAATTATTGGTGAATATTAAACATCATTATGTACATTACATTGACTAATACGGTCTGTGTTGTATCTCTATCCGTTTTTGAATTCGAGAAAATGATTCTGATTTTGGTATTTATCATAATTTAACAGAAGTGTCAAATTATGCTTAATGAATCAATTAGAAGTTATATTTCAGAATAAATAAATATTATAAATTATCATTTCTGTGATGTTCTTGATTGGTCGGTTCAACAGTTTATAATAAACACCCCAGTTTTCTAATTTACGTATAAGTCAGTACCACATATAGACTACCTTAGGTGTATTATATATAAGCTGCAATAATTTCAGCAAATTCAAAATTAATTCCTTCTATATTTCTTCTATTAAGATATCCAATTTCTTAAATATCGTGTTTTTCTCAGGCATTAAAAAGACAAACCTAATTTGAAAGATGTTTAGGTAGGACATCCTCAGACAGTAACCTTCCACTCAAGTATATGTATATATGTAATTATTTATTTAAATCATTCAGAGTGTTTGATTTCAAAATGTGAATAATCTGTTGTTTTTTATATTTTGGATAAACTTATTGTAACACTATTTTCCGTTTATTACATGAATGATGTTTTGAGTTGTGTTTTACTCACCACAGTAAGCCTATATATCTATATATATATTAGGTTTTGAAGATTACTTAGCACTGGTGTTTCTAATGTATTTTTATGAATTATTCATTAGACAATATGCAGGCCGTTTTATCATCCTTCTAATTTTGAATATTTTAAACAGCTTGTCTGCTGAATAATTTAGGAAAAATAAATGAGTAGCATCAACGCTAAATATTTTTAAATCCTATATGACTATAGGTTCATTGTGGTGAATAAAAGACAGTTAGAAAGAACATACATTTAATATACATTCCATCATCATAAGAAGCCTAGTTTGTTTGAATTTTCGAATTATCTTGAGTCACTGATGAGGAGTGAAATCCCCACATCGGTATAACTCAGTGACAAGTTGTGAATCTAATCATATATTTTTCTGTCTATGATATTGCACCTTGATATATAAAATGGGTTTTAGTGTGTTAAAATTTTTCAGACATATAAAAATTATTTAAATAGAAATGTAACATATACAGTGACATGGTGAAGACTCATTAAACTTCGAGAATGCAAAGGATTACTTTGTCTTAACATATTTACGCAGTTTATAACTTATAAACGAATCATTATTTGGGAAAAAAGTAATGACAAGATGTTATGTGAATTGACAACTAACGTACACACGATCAACCTACATAAACTTAGCAATGTTTAAAATATACAGATTAATTAGCGTGGCGAACACGTTTCTCTTTTTTTTGGTGTAAACTATGAACTGAATATCAAAGTTTTTAATTTAGAAAAATGTATGAAATATAAGTGAAAGTTCTATTGGTTCAAGTAAACTTTGAAAATAGCTTACTGTACTGACTTTAAAGCTCAAACGCGTAAGCACAAATCTTCAGTTTATTGGAGAAAATCTACAATTGTAGCATAAAACTTTATATCAAACGTTATAAGAATGTATAAACTGTTCAAAGTGTCTGCTGTGTATGTACCTAATTATGTAATCTAGCCATCAATGACGGTTAACTTTAAATAACGTTATCAGTTGTCAATGTAGTAAAATTTTGAAGTCAATAAAGATTATGTATTGAACGTGCAACTAACTTTCTCTCATAATACTATATGCATACAGGGAAGCAATGTGGTTGGTTCAGTGGCTTTTCGCTCTGAACTCGTAGTCGGATGGTTCCAACTACGAGCCTGGCTCGCGTCATGCTGTTGTGTCCTTGAGGAAGAAAGACACTTTTTCCTTAATTGTTTAAATCTACTAACCTGTATGATGGGTAAGAGCTGTTGTTGGGAGTTAACTTTCGATAAACTGGAATGTGTCACAATTCTCATGTGCTTGTACCAATTAAGCCGGAGTTCAGCACCGGATCCTAGCTGCCATGTCGGTAAGAAAAGGATTTGACTTGACTCGATATGCATACAGATAGAATGATCAAACTAACACTGGCTCTGTCTCTCAATGCATTACAAAAAAGTCAATTATTATATCTTATATCTTAGACTTTTCTGGTCTAAGATTCGATCCCAAGTTACAGACATATTACCCAAAAAATGTAATCACTGGATCATCATTAAGGAACATTTAAAAAAAGTATTTCCATGATGTGTAATAATAACTTCCGAACAGAGTAAACTATGTACTTAGAACGAAACTCAAAATCAACATCAGTATAATTAATCATATATACTTTTCTTACGTTTCTACTTATAAAAATTAGAATTAATAGTTTCATCATGGCGTTGGTAACTCTCGCTTTTAACGATATTTTCGGCCGTAGTCCCAATAATACCTCCACGAGCTTCGGGCGGCTTAGGAGATTTAGGTTAGTTCTAAATACATATATTGATCTAACAATGCAAAACAATCGTTATCATAAAATCATAATAATAATAAAAAAGTAATGTAATTCGATATATTAAATAACATAAGTATCGATTAAATAACGAAAGTATCGATAAAAAAAATAATATGTGACACACATACATGTATATATATGTACATACAGTTGGAAAACTTATGTGCTCCTTTTTATCAAACCATTTCACGAAATTGTGGCACATACATACACACATATATAGGATCATTTTCATAAATAACAGTATATTAAAATATCACTGGTCTTTCTTTTCTATAGTCAGTAATCTTAATGCAGTTTGGTACAGCACAATATACTGCGTGCGCATGTCAAATGCATGTGTTACGAATTTCCAATAATTGTGAAATTAACAACAAATTCTGTCGTTGTTTTTGTAAACTGGTTTAAGTGATAACGTGCATTTATCTAGACGAAACGCTACAGCGTGAAAGTGTGACGCTTATCAATCTGGGAAAGTTATCTAATTGTGTATCAATTGCTATTTCATGTTGTGTTATTCCTCTGTTTTACTTTGAAACGTTTATTTAGTCATGACCAGAGGTTTTGTCAATGTAGAAAATACCTTTACCCAATATTGTAACTCTTTGTATTTGAAACTTGTATTTGTTTAACACTAGATACGTTTGTTTTTCGAATTCTAACATTTACATACATCATACAATACTTGTAAACACATGGTTAAAAAAAAGTAATGTTAGTTATCATAAGTTTCCACTTCAGTTCTACTAACATTGAATTATTGAAATAAATATGCGTTTTTGTTTGTTTTGTTCGTGATTCTGCGTGTATGT